GTTATAGCATAAAAACTATAACAAGCACAAAATGGTTACGAGGTCCTTACATTGACTGACCCCGTATTGAAAGAGTTAATTATAAATAGATGTATACTATTACGAGCTTAAAGTTACTTAGGATAAACGAATGCAGTTTCATGTTACAATTTGTAGTCATTCTAGAAAGAAAAAATGGTAAGTTAGATTTTTTTTATTGGAGGTTATGAGGTTGATCAAATTGACCAATCCTATATAGAGATAGGGTAGAGAAAATAACAGATAAAATATAAAACTTTACTGAAAATATATGACTGAAAGGTATTTAGGTTTTAGGGATTACACAAAGGAAACTTGAGATTTTTGAGATGAAGAAAAGTATTTTTAATCTTAACATGAAAATTACTTTGAACACAAATACTCAATATGTTCATGGTTAAATGTTTATTTTAGTTTATTAAAAATACTTCACTAAAAAATAAGAATTTTTGTATGTGAAAGACTATTATTATAATGTTAACTGAAAGACTGCCAAATTTTGTGAAGACATACACACACAATATTGAAAGTTGGAAGTAAAGACATTAAACGAGTACAAAGAGGTCACGTGGTCAGTCAAATTGACCAACTCCATGTTGAGAGAGTTAAATCTGATTAAATGTGTATTGTTAGAGTCTTACAATACCAAAAATAGCTTGCTCTTAGCCAATGAACTTGAAAAACGTTTATAGAACCATGAACAATTTCAAGATAGAACTATAAGAAATCAACATCTAATAAAACCTAAGTATGATAATAGATTTATTCTCCTTGTATATGAATTTATGCTATTAACAATAATTAGTTTTAAACATTATTAATCTTATTTCTTCATTCTCCTTCTTGACATAACACTGTTTAGGAACAACAAGGGACCTATTGGTCCATCTCGGCTGTCCCATCCTTTAGCCTAAACATTTCAATTTCAATATGCTCAGAATGTGATAGAAATAACCAAGAGTAGTTATCATTATTCAATGGAGTTGACAGAGACACTCATATTTGATAATCTTAATTGTCTATGTACACTATGTCAAAAAAGGAGAGTAAATAAACAAAATACAGCCATGTATTTTTTGAAATATGCATGGATATACACAGAGTTGACCTGATTCAACACATGAGCAGGCTCACCATTATTTGTAGTAGTAGTAAAAGCTGAAGATACTGGCATTAGTGCTTGTCGAATAGCAGACTCCCAACCTTTGGCAACCTCTGGGTCTTCTCCAACATAGTAATCTACATTAGCTGTACGCAGTTCAAAGCAATGTATGATACCAGAAGCATCAGAATTCATGCCTTGTTTCACAGTCTCAAGGGCCAAAACTTCAGACAAAGGAATTTCCTGTCAATTACAAAACATTGCCATCTTTGTTCAGATGAAACCTTTAATTAAACATAAAAAATAAACTGTACAATAATAATAAAGAAGCGTAAGCCTCCTATTAAAGATTGCCACTAGTAACAGCTTTATACACCATTAAACAAGGATGTCTAATGAAACACACAATGTACATACATAATATCCAAATCAGCAAACCTCAACATTACAAAACTTCCCAAGGAACCTTTATTTCACTTTCACAGTTGTTTATCCTTACACAAACATGCACCTATCAACAAAATTCATCCAGATTAAAATAAAATTACAGTGTCAGCACACACAAAACTGAAACATTATTTCACTAGCTTAACTTACCTTGTAGTATTTGGAAGTTGTGTCATTCTGGAATAATGTAATTGCTTTACTATCAAGCCACCAATAATGCCTTTTCCTCTGAAACGATTGAAAACAACTATTTTTAAGTAAGTACTATATAGCATTAATATAACCAGAACTGTTATGGCTAAATTTAAAATACAATATTTAAAATTCTTTACAAGTCATCAAATACATGAAAACACTAAGTTCTATTAGTATTACAGCTACTTTGCTGCTATACATGTTATGCTTTATTTTGAAAATATCTTTTCTTAATATCTGTGTGAACCACTTGTTTTAGAAATTCACACACACACTACACAAGTACTAGATGCCCTAATTACCCCTAATTCTGAACTGATAGACTAGAAACAAAATGCTGCCTGGACTGCACACTGACAAATGTGCTGCAACAGGACTCTACAGTTGGAGGGAAAAGATCCTACACTTTTGCTGGTGCTAGACTTCTCTAGCATGTACATAAATAAATAACAATTAAAGAGAAGGCAGCTATTCAACAGTACTCATTGCCACTTTTTGAGATACTCTAATCAAATAGTGGGATTTGAGTGTCACTCTTATAATGCACCCATGGCCTCAAAATGCAGAGCAAAAGTTTGTGGAAACTGAATGTGAACCATGAACCCTTGGACTTACAGTAATACCAAAGATTATTAATTGTCAAGACTTTGTAATCTTTTCATCATCATCTTCTTTTTGACTAACTTGAATTTTTTTCTAACTCAATGTTTCAATTCACCACAAATATTTAACAAAGACAAAAAATGGCTTAAACCCAGAAATTACTACTCATTAAACCAACTTAAGAAATGCATACCACTACAAGTTTAAAACCTAAGAATTCTACATTAAAAAATTCAGATTTTTTTTTATAAAAGTATTTGTACTAAAGCTTTATGAAGCCTTTTCTAAGTCAGTCTGAGTCAAAGGTGGTTTTCATGCTAAGAATAAAAATACTTCTTTTCATGTTACAATTTTCATATTTCATTTGCATAATCTCTAGAATCTCCTAAATGAATATCAAAAGTGTTTCAGTAAAACTTTATTTTATCTCTTATATTCTCTACATTAACTGTAGTGAAATCATCAACGTATAGTGAATGAAAAGTTGAAAAATATGAAATAAAATCAGAAACACATTTTTTTCCTCTAGAATAACTACGAATTGCAACAGACAATTACAATTATTTATCATAACAGCTTCAGGTCACTTACTATTTTACAACTACTTTTATTTTATTGTTTCATTTTCTTTTAATCTTGTCTAACTAGCATAACAAAGAAATAAGCAAGAGCTAAAGGTTAACAAACTATCAAGAAGCACCATGAGATGGAAGCTCATGTGCATTCCTCAGAGAGGTCCCAAGAGTTTGTTTTAATTTCATTTTTTTTGTTTCATTTAACTTTCATTATCTAACCTATTAAGTTTCTAATTTTTACAATTCAGTTACTTTTGTTAAATATATATAATAATAAATAAAAGTATACACAAAAAAACAAGAAATTTAGCATTTACTTTTGCCTTGAGGCCTTTTGCACTGATATGCATGATTTAGTAAGTCTTTTTTTCTCATTATGTTGGTTGTCCAAAATAATTCATGTAGCTTTTAAATATGCATTTTAGAACAAAAAATATATCAGGCATTCAAACAGAATGTCCCAAAACTACTGAAATGCATTTGGTTTTCTAATTAAACTATAAATAGATTAAACATTTCCATGATTGCTAAGAGCAACATCTGTAGTCTACACACATCAAGCTCTCCTCACAAACTATCGGCTTTGACTGATTAAAAAATAAACAGCTACCAATCTACTGATTTATATAACTTAGAGTACACTCTTTTTGTTGATTATAAACATATCAATAGAGTAAATTATATATATTTCTTAAAAGACAGAGAATATGGGAGGAGTGTGTCATGTGGATTGAAGGAATAAAGTGATATCCCAATAAAATAAGTTTATATTCTGACCTAGCAATATTAATAACATATGCTTCTAATTGGTTGAACAATATGAGGTCCTTATAAAGGAAGCAAAAAAAAATATATTAATGCGAAGTCAGAGCATCACTGTCATGTAGTGCTCTGAGGGTTACAGATTGATTGAGGAATTAGTTAAATATTTCCTTTTGAAATCAAGAAATTTGAATTATAAACAACATTTTCATGCCAAATTTATTAATATACATTGATAATAATGAGGTTTAATTAAATTTGTAATTTAACTCTTAAAAAGGTTGTGAAAAGCCTACTTTGACCCTCCTGTGTGCATAGGGTTAACACTGCCATTTAGAAAACAATTATGTAACTAAATTTACAATACAAACCATGCTATCTTTGTTAGTGAAATGCACCATCCAACCTTCCTTCAGAACTTTGGAACCTTTACGTTTTGTCTGTTTGACACTCTGAACAACCCTCATCAGGGGAATGTTGCTGCTCGTTGTGACACTGTTGAACATATACAAATGCCTTGTGAGAGATGAAAATTTTTTTCACAGTTTCACTAAAACTGATCCTTAATTTTTTTCAAAGTGTTAGTCCAGAGAATAAATACATAACTATTACATACTTAACAACAGGTTTTGACTCTTCATCTTGCAGGTCTTGAATTCTTCGTTCTGACAAACATTCACTTTCATTGTCAGATTCATCTTCATTCTCTGCATCATAGCTTTCTGCTCCTTCCACTAAAAAACAGTAAAACTTTACAACTTTGGGAAAAAAGAATTGTAGAAAATCGTGAAGTAATAAATTACAACTTGATTGTTTGCTATAAAGCACAAAGCTACACAGTGATCTATCTGTACTCTGCCTACCATGGGTATCAAAACTCAATTTTTAGCATTATAATCTCTCAGACTTACAACTGAGCCACTGGTAGGCAGTAAATTACAAAAGAACCCTTTTATAATAAAAGCTTGAATAAATACATGTAAAATATAATGTTTGGATATTCAAATCAAATATGTTCATAATAATAAAAAAAACAACACCTAAGATTGAAAAAAATGTGGTAAATCACATTAAAATCATTTGATGAAACCCTAGGGCTTTAACAAAAGGACTTCTTTACACCTAAAGTAGACTAGTCATCTATAGCACTAGGTTTTTCTTATTTTTATGCAACTTATCAAACCATTAAATGAATTTATTTATCAATAATTTCCAAATATGTCATATTATTTAGCAAGATAAAAATTCAAATATTTGATAACTAAGTCATTTATAATCTACTGAAAATTCTTGGTGAGTAGTTATAAATGAGATATTGATTATTAAACCCATAAAAATTTTAAAACAGGATTGTGAAAGAATACACTAAAAGTAAGAGGAATTTTTGTTACCAGTAAACAGTGTTTCGTTTTTGTTTTTAATGTAAATATTACGATGTCTTCAATTATTTCATCAGAGCCATAACTAGGCTACTTAGCACCAAAGGTAAGCCACTGTATATGTATCACCTTTGAGCATGCTGTGACAAGTCATTTTGTTGCCCCGTCCTGGTTACGGCTCTGTATTTCATTCCACTAACCATTAGCTAGATTCATTCGACGGGAATCTAAGTTAAATGATGAACAACAGGACGACGGCAACAACAATGAACATTTGACACGTGTATGTTCAGTAACAAACATTTAATTCTTGAACATTTCGGAATATACATATTCCATCTTCAGCAAGCTGTATTGAACAGGGTAAATTATTAGGTACAAATATTTATAAAGTTTAAACATTCTATAAAAGTAATTAAAATACAGAATAAAAGTAGGAAATAAATTAAAAGACAATCAAATAAACCAGCCATTTTAATAAAAAGAAGTTTGTCTGTACAAAGTGTAGAGATAACCCTTTACAACAAACCAAGAATGAAGTCAGGTAGTGAAATAAAATACTGTCCAGCTGGAAACTGGAAACACTACTTACACCACTCTTTTGGAGCTTCTCCTGGACAGTCATTTGGAATCTTCTCTATGCAACGCTTGTGAATATTGAACTTGCAGTCTAAAGAGAAATGTTTATCTATCAGATACACACAATCAAGCCTATACTATCCTATGGTAAAGATTGTACTGTTGTACGGTTAAGCCTGTACTACTTACTATACAATCAGGTCTCTGGTACAGAAAGCTAGTCAATTTTTAACCTTATAAGATATTTTACTGTGGAGACTGTCGCATTCTAAATTAGCACATAATCAAGCCTATATTCTTAAGACTTATTGAATAATGGAAAACTAAGATGTGGTGATAGCATAATTTGTTTTTGGTAACTGGAGCTATCAAAAGTGAATCAACAGCCCAAATTACACTCCCTTTGTACTCTTATATATAAGCTGCTTAAAAAAACATTATAAGTCCTAGTCAATGAATTTAACAAGTACGACACAACAAGAAAATGTCACTTCCAAATTCATAAGATTTATGTCAAAAAAGAAATCCAATAAACACCGATTCTCACTACCAGGAAACATAAAATAGCAGAAAATTTTGTGACAATTTTATGATTTTCAGAGATGCACAATTTATTTATTTTCCAAAAAGTCACTATCTAAAAAAAAAAGAAAAAAAAATTAGTTCATATATGATTTAATTTTTGAACAAATAAACTTGGAATGTGACAATTTCTTTCAATATGCATACACTAAAAAAAGAAAAATACTACCTTACCTTTACACTGCATTCCTTGCCGGAAAAGTCCCTTTAGGAGTTTTTTGCAGTGGTGGCAAATTGTGGGCCGTGTATAAGAATGCACCTCAAAACTATGTGGCACTCGAATACGACTGGCATATTCCCTGTCAACCCAGGTTGGACGTCCCATGTTGAAAGATGACCGTTTTTCTCGGACAGGTGATACTGCCAGCAGTTGCTAGTAAAAGAACAACCACCAAATAATTATTTTTTAATTGTATAAGATATGCAATTTAGGACTGAAGAAACTACATAATATTAAATTTAGTTTAAAATTTCAACTTACCAACAAGTGAAAATACATTAACAAGGATAATACTGTTTGTTGTTGTTGACATACATGTACAACCAATTAATGTGACAAAAAGTAATTAACTTTTTAAATACATTTTCTCTACTCTTTACTAGTTCATGTAAAACAGGTCAGGATAACTATTCTGCACTGTTAGGTAACCTAATGTTCAGTAACTAGCCGTCCTCTTATAAGTAAGTAAAGTCAGATGTTTCAAAAGAACTGGTTTAATATGTAACAGAATCAGGTGAACTAGTTTTCTAACATAGTTAAAATGACAAAAGGTTTGAGACACCTTACACGAAAAATATTATCCTGGAAAATAATTATAAAGCAAGGAACAGTTGTACTTTTAAGATACATTATTGTTCTAAAGCTTTTTTCTGAAATTTTCTTTTGGAAATTTGGGGGCATTTTCAGATTTAAAATAACATTCAATTAAGTACTTACCTCTAGCTAGATAGTAAGCTATATCATCAAATGATAGCTGACCAAGTTTTGTGTGTTAACAAAAAGATTGATCTCCACAGGTGTCCCACTGCACATGTAGGTGGGTGCAGGTGGAGATTATTGATAAATGGAGGACTCTGAAATGATAAACTACACAGAAGTTCTAGAATAAGATAGATCACTAGATGTCACTAGCAGATGACATGGGTGGGTATTGCCAGAAATTCTGTATCACAATATATTGTGATATTTTTAACTGTACTGCAATATATTGCACAAAGTCTTTACTTATAGAAGTTATTTTTTGTCTACTCGTTGGTCACCTAAGCACTGTCTAACTTAGTTTGCTGGGGGATTACAAAATATATGTCATCAACCTAAGTACAGCTTCATCCAATCAGAAAGTGACATATCACAGGAACTACTGTTATAATATAATGCTTAGGGTGTTAGAAAATCAACCACTGTAGTATCAATTGCAATTAACTAATATTTTGACAGATTGGTATTTTTATAAAAGGGAAGTTTGAAACAACTTTGGTTGTCTGGAGACTCCTTGGAAAAAAAACTTCCATTGTACACTAATATAGGGATCATCTAAAAATGTAGATAAAATCAAATGAATATACCCCCAAAACAATGTTGTTACAAGTTTACCTAACATGTAATTATAGTTCTTCATTTAGTCTGTAGTGTTTAAGAATAAAGTTTTAGTGGCTATCGAGGCTATAAACAAAACTTAGTGTGACAAAAGCACGACAAAATAAGCCAATGGACATAGCAGGAATATGGTCACAAGATGATTCATATCCTGTGCTTGAATTAGAAAGAAAGCACATAGCTAGAATTGAAATACCTATTTTGGCAAATCATTTGGCCATAAACAGTTTGAAAATGCTAACAGTATATATTTTTTTTTATTTCCTGAGCATGTGCTCAGAGCAGCACTTTATAACACCTGCCACAATCCCTATCAAATCATGGGAGGACAAGAGGTTAAAAAAACATTTTTATAGAAAAAAATAGTACTAAATCAACGATGACAAATATTTTGCAAGAAATCACTTTTAACCCCTAAGCAGGTAAGATAATATTATTTATCACCAACTCTACATTAGAAATTTTAAGAACAACTGTGAAATAATTCTTGCAATTCATGAAAATACAGTGAAAACATTCAGGAAATTTTTTTCTTTTCTGCTAAAAAGCTTAAGTTGAAAAAACAAAAAAACCTGAAAAACTGGTTCCAAGGAAAGGTATCATGATAACCAGTGCCGTGCCACTGGGGGAACAAAACACAACATACAATAAAACTGTGTACACCTAGTAAACGATCACTGGATGAAGTACCTCACCATTTATCTAGAGGAACAGTACTGTAATTGAATGTACAGTTTAGGAAAAACTGATAGAAAGATTGTTCTCAAAGGTTGTCTATGGAGCATATAAATTTTAATTTGTTATTCATTAAATTTCTTTTATATTTAAAAGCACTGTTTAATTCTTTTTATCCTCATATATTCACTGCATTTTTCTGGGAGTCATTGACGAAACACCAAAAAAATACAGTTTTGAATTTCAGTAGGACATGCTCAAGTCAATCACAGATCAAACACTAGATAATTTACATTTACTGTCACTGTTAACTGATACACTAGGACAGAGAATCCAAGCAAACACATGTACAAAATGTTGTCAAACTACTTCAGATTATGCCTGACCACTAAAGTAACAAGACATGTACTTAGAAAGTCACTTACAGAAGCATCTTCAGATAATGCAGGTCCACTGCTAGCCACCCGGTGAACGCATTCCGTTGAATTATTGGGTGATAAGTAGGCAGAAAACCTACGTTTTCTAGCATGTGTGCAATTGTTAGGGATTTTATAAGCACAACGTTTATGGAAGTTCAAACCACAACCTAAGTTATAATAAATGAGAAGCTTCTTTTCACAGAATACAATATGACAATAAAACATTTGAACGGTAAAAAAGGACTCAATTTTATTAGAAGAAGAAACTTATAATGAAATATATTTTAAACATTCATTCTTATTATCATAATAAATAACTGTAAATAACCTCTACAAAATAACAGAAATACAATTCAACATACAAGATGTTTTAGATAAATAAAATTAAGTAAAAAAAAGTACTTATTTTTAAATCAGGAAACCTTGTAAAGATATTTTTTATTACTTGTTTATATTTTATTTTTTGCTATGTAACAACAATATTCCACACAAGAAAATACAAATTGTTTCTTGGTATGTGTTTATACCAATTTGAGAAATGCATTTAATTTATTTTCTTTTCTTTTTTTTTATGTTTAGTACAATGGTATCCAAGGTAAAGTGAGATCTCAGGAAAATGATTAAAGCATTTGATACATGTGTAGCACAAATACTATTTTTATAAGTAGATTTGTATTTACTTAAAAATATGTTCATTCAAACTTACTCAACTACAACTCAAAAATATTAATATTAAATCCAGTATATCAGAATCCCTTTTGTTGTTTTTTTGGGCTTTTCTAAGATAAGTTGTGATTGCTGAGTAAATTTGCATCACATTAGGTTAAAGCACTCGTAATTTTGTTAAACTCTTCATTAAAATTAATTAATAAACAGGTTTTTCTTAAATGTTAAATATCGTAATACTACAGGCTAAACTTAACCATAAATACATCTAATATAAATACTTCTTCCTTTAGAACAAACCTTAAATACTCATGTCACTTACAAGGACATTTTAATGATTTAAAATGGTTGCATGCACCTACAAATATATGTTTAAAACATACTTTACAATGCAATCATTTCCCGAGTGTCAATTTATATACAAGTACATATAAGTATTCTAAAAAAAAAGATACATTATACCATTATTCTCCTTGAGTCACATTACAACAAAATCCTTTCATTCACATTTGACGCTTACTTTAACACAGGTTCCTAT